ATGCATTCAGTGTCCCCCAACACTCCTGGGGTGCTGCTGTCCTGTGCCCAGGGGTGGTGGGTGAGGATGGGACAGCCCCCACGGTGGAGGGCAATGCACCTTCCCTGGGAGGAGCTGGAGGAGGTTGGGGGCTGCTTTTGGGTGTAGAGTTTAGATAGCAGAGTATTTTTCAGTGAAACTCTGAAAGCCTAGCCTGGCATTGAATAAATGATGACTTCACCCTGGTGTTCTCAAGGTGATATTTTTTAACCCAGCATTTTGGGAAGCAGTGGCTTTACCAAAGATTTCCACGTTTTAGCCTTGTCAAGGCACTCGTGGAACACTAAACCAATGATATTCAGAAAACACTTGCAAACCTTTTTGCTTGTTACTTGATTTGCAATGAAAAACAGCTCTTGATGCCACTCATTATTAAATTTTGGCTTTAACCAGAGGGCTTGAACACAAACATTTGTCTCCCTCAGAACTGCTAATGCTTTTGACATATTTTTTGAAGTTCCCATCACGAGCTGGAACCTTTGGCCTCCTGGGGGTTGCTGGCAATGTCCTGACCTGAAACTTGATTTTTAATTCTTGTAGCAAGTATTAAAGATCAGTGAGAAAAGGTTGCTTGGTATCAGGATTAACTTGAGCTTCGGTTTCTCTTCACACTATTTTCTGTTCAAAGTCTTTCTCACACTTGCAAGACAAGTGACCTGTCATTGAGTGTTGTGGCTGATGGAAAAGTGCCCCACTGGATCCCATAGGAGTTAATAGGTCCAGATGCTGGTGATGGGAGGATGATTGTGCCATGAGGCATCAAATGAATGTGGTGCCATCATTTGGTGAGAAATACATCAAGAAAAGGATCATGTGTTAAAGGAATTGGATTTAATAGGGATTTTTTTTCTCTATGTGTGTGAAAGGGTAAGAGAGTGTTTTACTGTAGAGTGGTAGAACTGAGATTTTCAGTTAAAAAGTATATAATTAATACCACTGATTTGTCTCCTTAATGTGATTTAAGTGTCCTTTACAGATCATATATGTATATTTATATGTAGAAAGAATAAATATTGCATTCTGTCATTCTGTGTATTCAGGTATTGAGCTCTGACATGCAAAGCACAGGTTAACACAGGACTAATGAGGTTTTAATCCCTGCTCCATCACTGTGTGTACATTTAGGTGTATTGTTTTGCTATCAATCTCTTCAGGCTTCCAGGACTTGCCATCATAGCTCATTTCATTGACAAGTAGTTGAAACATAAGGAATTAGCTTAATTAGTGATTATAAATTGTTTAATTTTTGGCTGTTTCTGTGCAGGTGGTTGTCCAGTTCCCCACTGATTTGTCCAAATTAGTGACCTGGATGCATGAGATATTATTGACTTTGTTTTACAGCAAGACATGAGAGCAAATCTCTTTTCTCTCTATTTCCCTGCATTTAGATGATTCATCACATTTCTCTGACTCATTTGGGTGGTTTTTTTGTCTGTAAGTCTGCCACTTTCACCCATCTGCAACCCATTCCTCTCTGGAAAGAGGGATAAAAATACTTGCAGGCATTATCTCAACAGAGAGGCAGCAGTCTGGTGATGCAGCAAAGGCAGGTGCGGGCTGACATCCACCAGGGAACTCGGAATAACCAAAAATAATTTGCTTTTTGGGAATGTCATTGAAAAGAAAAGGTGCCACATCTCATGAACTTGTAGAGGGTCTTCTGCTGAACCCTGAGATCCCCCTGAAAGGAACCTGGTCATCTCTGTAACACAGATTTGCACCCTGGGTACATTCGGGGTGGAAAAATGAAAGTGTGGAAGTGTTTCATGTTGATCTAAGAGAAATTCTGTTAGAGGCCATCATAGCCTAGGAAATAACAGTACTTGAGGATTTTTAATTGCTTACACAGTAATTACACCAAGCTTCGTGGTACTTTCAGTAATTTGGCTTCATAAAATGTGTTGATAGGCCAACTGCCCCCATTTGAAGCTGATCTTAAGAGAAACCCTCCCAGAAAGAGCACAAAAGCAAATGAAAGGATGCTGGAAACTGCAAAAAAACCCCAACAAAACAAAAGCAACCAACCAACCAAAAAAAACCCACCAAACCAAAAAACCTCCAATAAAATAAAATAATAATTAAAAAAAAGGCATTAGAATAGCTTGAGATTGCTCTGACAGTCAGAGACAGAAATGAGCTGAGTTTAGGAACTCATGTTAAAACTATTTAAAATATCGCTTTCTCGGCTGTAATGAAAGATAGAGTTTAAATATTTCTTGGCCAAGTTCAGCTGACTTCTTTTGAAAGAGGAGCTCGTTGAAATAGGGCAGAAGGACAGACTCAGATATTTTAAGATCAGGCTTTGGAAGTACCACACTCAGGAAAATATAATGCTAAATGCTTTTCCCTTGATAAACGTGGTTCTGCTGCCATATGATCCACATTTCCAGCTCGGGGATGTATCACCCTGCAAATTGCAAAACTAAGTATGAAGAAATTCACCCTGAAAATGTGCCAGCAAAGTTCCTTAAAAGGCTCCCAGAAAAGATGACTCACTGCTTAAATGGCCACTCATTGCATCTGCAGAGCGTTTCAGGTTAAATTCCCTGCAATAGTCATGATTCCCTGGGGAAGCTGCAGCCACAACCCGTGGACCAGGTCCTGGTGAGGAGGGAGGGACATCCAGGAGAAGGACAAGGGGGCAGGAGAGGCACCAGAGCCCCCCTGAGCAGTGAGGAGGAGGAGGAGGAGGAGCACACAGGCTCCCCCCGAAGAAGGTCTGTAATTTCTGAGCTGATGAAAAGCAGGTTGGGGATGTCAGATGGCTGATTGATGTGTCACCAGAGAGGGACAGATGTCCAAGATTGTCCTGCTGTTCATGCTGAGCTGGGGTGCCTTGGTGTGTCAGACTCTGGGAAGTGTTTGTGATGTGTTCATGCCTGGGCTGTATATATGTCTGCCTCTATTTTGTACCTATATTTGTCTCTCCATCTCCTGTTGGTCTTTCTGCAGAGTTGTATCACAGAACCTTGTTTCTTGATATAAAATCAGGATTTTTTTCCCTATATAGTCAGTATTTCTGAATTCCTGTTTTAGCCCACAGGTTTTGTGGAGGTTTTGTTGTTGTTGCTGTAGTGGTTTTTTTCTTTTACGTCTCTCAACAAAACCTGCTTTCTCAGTCTCTCAGCTGTGTCTCATGTCCCCTCATAGCTCCCCAGTGAGGCAGAGCTGAAGTGACAAACCTTGAGCTGAAGCAGAGCTGAGACATCTGAGTTTATTCTCAAGTGACTGGTGCTTTTTGCTTTTCTTCACATCTAAAATAACCTTAACTGGGACAATTCCTTTTAACATTTCTGTTTCCCTGGGTCATAGAGGAATTTGATTTTTTACCAGTTGTTTGCTGGCTAAATACACCAGATTTTCCTTACAAACTGTATTTCTGATACATTTCAGTGTTGAAGAACCCAAATTCAGGTTCTCTGTAGGAATCTTTTAGCAAACACTGATTTCCTGAGCTGAAAAGCAAATTCTCTTTAGCACTGGTTAGATTTTTAAAGTATCCTACCACAACCATTTGCAACCTTGAACCTTCCAGGCTGGCATGAGCAGGAAAAGTCACCAGGGCTGTGCAGGCGCTCCCGGCTAATGAGCTCCGTGTTTGGCTGCTGTGGGATGTGCCAGGTTTTGCCTGGCAGCTTTTTTTTTTTTTTTTTTGGCTCCTTCTAAGTGGAAGCAGCTTCTTTCTGTCTTTTTAATAAATGGGGGCAGCTGAACATCAAGGCAGTGCCCTTCCAGTTTTGGAAGATTTATCAAAACTGTGCTGTAGTCTCTTGCGATTCCTTGTGGAAGAGGGATCCAAACTCTGCTGAAGTCACCAGGAATCTCTTCCTAACTTTCATGTTACCTCAGTTGTAATTCTACCTTTGGCTCTATGTGGACAGTAAGTAATTGTCAATTATCTTTTCAGACAGAGATGCTTTTAGAGATACAAGTTCCTGATTTTCATCAGGGACTGGAAGGACAGGACAAGGGGGAATGGCTTCAGATGGAGAGAGAATAGGTTTAGATGGGATATTAAGAAGAAATTCTGCCCTGTGAGGGTGGTGAGGCACTGGCACAGGGTGCCCAGAGAAGCTGTGACTGCCCCTGGATCCCTGAATTGTCCAAGGCCAGGTTGGATGGGGCTTGGAGCACCCTGGGCTAGTGGAAGATGTCCCTGCCCATGGCAGGGGGTGGGACTGGATGGGCTTTAAGGTCCCTTCCAACTCAAATCATTCTGTAATTCTGTACCAAACTGTCCTAGATCACTGTCATGAAAAGGTCAGAAAAAATGGACTTAAATAAAAGATACATATTTTATTTGTGTTAATGGGAAAATCTCATGTTAAGAAGTTCATGTGAAACAGGTGGAGAGAAGGATGGAAGGATGAGGATGGAAAGTAATTCATTGCTTAATGTTGGTTGAAACTGGAGAGGACAGAAAAATTCAACTAAAAAGAAAAGAGTGGGGTAATTTTCTCATAAGTATTAAAATGGGAATCCAGGTTGACATCCCATCCTCTAAATCCCAATTTTCTTCTTCTCCAGCATGTTCTGTGGCAGCCAGGACACACGAAGTTCTCATTTTATCAGATCTGAGGCAGAGTGACAAAATCCTTGAGCATGTTTTGGGGTGAAAATATGCTGGGGAAAATGGTCATTTCTGTCAAAGAATATTATCCATGTTGCAGTTGAGTGTCAATCCATGTTACTCATGTATGAAATTGTGTGGGAGATGGTGTAAGTTTTCTTTCTATCTGTTTTTGGGTGATTGAACAGAAGAAATGTGATTTATTTTACCGAGTTTCTGTGATGGCCTTATTTGCCCTGAGCACGGGAAAGAAGGGGAATATTCTATTTACCAGTCATAGACTCAAATTTAATTTTAAATATTGATCACTTTGCTCTGCCAAAATGTTTTGTTTCCCTGTCTGGCTCCACCCTAAATGCAGGTCTGGAGCAGGTCCGTGTGTGTCCCACAGGTGTGTGTTTGCAGAGCTGAACCAGCATTTTCCTTCACGTGCTACAGGCAGAACAGTTTTGCCTCAGGTAAATCCTTTCTCTGGGAAAACCCATCAATAACCCCTCAGGGCCGGGTTCTCCAGGTGGAACAGAGATGTTTGCTGGGAAAATTGGACTGAATTTTCGTGTCTGTGTCAGCTGAAAGAAAATTAGCCAGGAAAAACAGTTCTGTTCTGTCAGGCAGGGGGAAAAACAAACAACCTGCAGAGCAGAGAAACAGTTGGTTTCTCTCTTTTTTGTTTGTTTCTTTTTTGTTATTTTTGTTGTTTCTTTTTTGTTTGTATTTTTATGTGTTTTGTTCCCTTTTTGTATCTTTCATCTTTTTTGTATCCTTTAACTTATTGCATTTCTGCATCTTTTTGTATCTTATTCTTTTTGTGTGTATTTATCTCCTTTTGCATCCTTTCTGTATACTTATGATATGCTTTTGGTATAGTTTTATATATTTTTTTGCGGTATTTTTGGTATCTTTTTGTATCTTTCAAAATCTTTTTTTAATCTCACTTGTATCTTTTTCACACCTTTTTTTTAAAGAATTTTTTATCTTTATCCTTTTTTCTTTTGTATCTTGTTTCTCTTTTGTTTCTTTTCTCTTTCTTTTCTCTTTTGTGTGTTTGGTTTTTGTTTCTTTTGTTTCCTTTTTGCTTCTGTTTGGCTTCCTTTTCTTGTTTTTGTGGTTGTTTGTTTGTTTTGTTTTGTTTTGTTGGTTTTTGTTTTGGTTTTGTTTTTTTGTGTTTGTTTTTTTTTTTGTTTGGTTTGGTTTGTTTCTTTTTTCTTTTTTTTTTTTTCCCCTTTGAATGCAAAGTCACAGGTTTTCCTAACCTGTAAGGCACACATCTGAATTCTCAATTCCTTTACTTTTCTGATTTGTACCACTCCATGTTATTTGGGGAGGTTTATTCTTCCTCCTCACCCCAAGCTGGAACTTTGCTCTGCTGGACCTTCCCAGCCCATGTGGGCACTTCTGGCTCTGCAGCAGCTCCAGAGCATCTCTACCTTATAAAATTACTTTACATTTCTTTGTGGCTCCTCTTCAGGCAGGGGAATTGCACAACTTAACATGAGTAATACTAATTATTTGGGATCTGTCACTGCACGACTGCTGATGAATAATGCAGATTATTCTGCTGCTGGATGCAGTTGTTGGGGTTTTTTGCCTTTTTCCCCTCATCACCTGCCTTGAAGTATTGTGACATTGGGTGACACAGATAAACCTGAGGTCTGTAATTAAGTTGTATTTTAATGAACCTGGAAAATATTCAGTTTTGCACATCTTCATGGTTTAAAAGTGGCTTAGTGAGTCTTCCAGCTTTCCTGTCTGCTCAGTGCTCCGCTGATGTTTCTCCATAGGAATAGCAGGATTCAGAAGGAAAAAACTTCAGAATGCCCCACACTAGCATATTTGGGGTTTCGTGTAAATTAAGGTAATTTTGTGCATTAAATCACTGTATTTTTCCCATTTATCAGTGCAAGGCTTATTGCTGATCAAACACCTCCAATGAGGAGGGAATTTCAGTGACTATGAATTTGACTTTTCTCATGGAATTCTCCTTATTTTCCATGAGCATCAATGTGATAGGGATTTTTGGCTCAAGTGCTTCCAGAGAACAAGCTTTAAGCCTCCTTATATAGGCTTTTGCAGTTGCAAAAAATGATATTTGAGGAAAGCAGTGACTGAAATCACGGATTCCTCCCCCCCTGGCTGTGCACTCTGCCCAGAATTGATGGAATATACACAGGAAAAGCTCTGTTTAGGTGGGATCTGTTCATTTTTCCCACAGTATTCCAGCAGAGCTGCTGGCTGCCTCGCTAAAGAAAAGTCCCTTATGTGTGGTGGGTGAGGAATTTCTGTATATTCAGCTCCTGTGTCTGACTTCTGAGAGCTCTGTCCATAACGTGTCCAAAGGGATCATTTTAGACTGGATTTGATCCCCTTTAGGCACAGAAACTTATGAATTTAACAGTCCAATTTTTTTCCCTCCCACCTCCTCCCTCTTTTTTTCCCCCCTGTGGCTGTTTAATATTAAAATGCTGCATCTTTTGGTAGGAAGGTCAGCAGGGAAGCTCCTGCTGCAGAGGAGGGATGGATGTTAATTATCAGCAGTGCAGGATTCCCAAGTCCCTCACAGGAGCATCCTCTTTGAAGGGACTGAAGCTCTTGGAGGGTTTTGGGCTCTCCACGGATCTGCACAGGCCCCATAAGTTGGTCCAAGTGGAAAAGATAGCCCAGATTTGCTCTGGCAGCATGGAAAGCTTCTCCTGATATTCAGAGTTTATTCCTGTAAAGGGAGGACATCCTGATATCCAGCTTTTTCCCAGCAGGAAAAACTTGAAGAAGGTTGCTCCTGCACTCCAGAAAGGTGATTTTATTCTGTCTTAGACTTGGAAATAAATCTGAATATATATATATATATATATATATATACTTTAATCCAGTTATATCAGAGTGCTTGGGATTAGGAATGGCACATTTCCAGCCATAGTTGTCTTTCTCAATTGCAGTTGGAAAGGCTGTGGAAAAGGACCAGGGAAAAAAATCGACTGTTTGGTGGTTCTTCCTGTGGAAGAGTCCTTTGAAATTTAGCAACTCAAGTTCCTGAAGTCAGGAGTAATTCAGGAGTGATGTCTGTTACAGTAAAAACCAAGCTGGTGTTTCCAGAAAATAAATGAACTCCAGATGTATTTATTAACTCTGTGGCTTGGATTCAAAGATCTTCAAATGAGAAAGAAAGTGTCCAGTTTTCCCAGCAGAAACATTTATAATGGGAAGAAATAGCTTGAAAAATTTCATTTTTTAGCCTAAGGCCAAAGAGAACAATCACATGTAGATGGATCAGATGGATTGTGTGTATAGAATGGTAGGAAAATCTGCCCTGGAGCATTAGTCAACACTGTCACATTATGATTTTTAGGTATGTAATTACAATCATGAAGTGTGAATACTGACATTGGAGGGATTTGTTATCAAATTGGACATGGGGCTTAATTTAGATTAAATTCAGAAACTTTGTGCTTGGAAATCACCCAGCACTTTATGCCTTGTAGGCAAAAAGTACAGAGGAAGAACATGAGAAGAGGGAGGGCAAATAAACCCTCTGTTTGTAGAGACAATGATACACTTATTTTTCTCTTTTAATTAACAGTAAAGGTCTAGGTATGATAATAGGAACAAATCAGCTTGATGGAAATCCACTGCAACCCAGAGGGGCACTGCACATGCAAAAAGGAAGATTAAGCTCCAACCAGTCCTGTGGAAGCTGGGTTTTGCAATTGATTATTGTGAACCTGAGCCTAAGTAGTAAGCGTGAAATATTAATTAGGCTCTTCATATATGATGAAATAAAGGTGGTTTAGTGTTAAAAGATGAAATTGAATTGGATTTAGAAGAAACATTTCAAATTATTTCGTGCAATAGGCTAAAGCAAATATTGATTCACTAGTACATTAATGCAAATACATTAAATTATTAGGCATTAGGGGCCACTTTAGTCTGTGGAGAATCCAATGCAGGAGCTTTAACCTTTTCACCAGTCATCCTTGACGCTCGGGCTGTGGCAGCAGCCGTGTGTGCCCTCTGCACTGGAGCACTGGGATTCTCCAGGGGAGTCTTTGGTACAATTAGTCCATAATCTTTCCTAATGTGCTCTCCAGAGGGTCCTGTGACTAAATGCTCTTGATAAGTAATAGTATATGCAAAGTAGATCTGCACTCGAGGTCTTGTCATGTGATAAATGACTGAGGTAGAGCAGGGGAGCTGCAGTGAAACCTTGATTAGCTGAACCCAGCTTAGGAAAACTGTTCTCCTCTGGAATTCAGAGCTGTCCCCCCAGGCTGAGTTACCTCCCTGCTGGAGTTCAGCGAGTCAGGGTGTTCTCCAGGGATAAGTCAGGTGGTTTCCTGGCTCCTGGTGGAATGAGAAGAGGGAAAATCATGACAGGAGCAAGAAATAGTGGGCATTTTGGGGAGCTTGGAGAAGCCTGTGAGGGGGTGGGGAGGGGGGAGTTGTGCCGTGGAGGGGGGACACTGCACTGGGTTGGGTGTTGGTGCTGTCAGTGTGACCTTCCTGTGCCAGTTAGACCAGGTCTAACTTGGGGAAGAAAGACATTCTACAAGAGCATGTGGTGACAGGACAAGGGGAAATGGCTTCAAACTGAAAGAGGGTAGCTTTAGGTTGGGTATCAGGGGAAATTGTTCCCTGTGAGGGTGGGGAGGCCCTGGCACAGGTTGCCCAGAGAAACTGTGGCTGCCCCATCCCTGGAAGTGTCCAAGACCAGGTTGGATGGGGCTTGGAGCAACCTGGGCTAGTGGAAGGTGTCCCTGTCCATGGCAGGGGGTGGGACTGGATGGTCTTTAAGGTGCCTTCCAACCCAAACCATTCTGGAATTCCATGATTCTATGTGGGGAAAGAGGAGGAAGGAATTGCAGCAGAAGCTCTGGGTTTACTCATTGTCACTGATTCCTTCAGAAGGGAAAATTGTGGATTTTTTCCCAGCTGTGCTGTAATGCACGTGCCTTTTATCTCCTGCCAGTCCCCTCCAGACTGGACCTGGGGCTGCAGCAGCGCTGTAGTTCCCAATTCCCTCTGATTCCCTGTTTTTTATAGCAGCAGTAGGTGTCAGGAACCCAAGAGTCAGTCATTTTCACTTATAGCTTGGTCTCCTGGTGTCATTTCATCTGCACTGGAAAGCCCACAGAGCATGGAAGCTGTGCCCACAGTGCTGTGCAGGAGCAGATGGTGTTCCCTGCTCAGGTCTTCCAAAGTATAGAATTCCACTAATTTCACCTTGCTGAATACCCTGGGCACTTACTTACTCATATTACTTGGGTTTTGCACACTTTAATTAATCATTTTTATAGGATCACAGGTGCTGTCAGTTCTTCTGTTAAACCTCTGTGTCACATTTATGAACTGGTACCGGGAGGATTTAAGCATCCTTTTGTTTGTAATTAAAAGCCTGAATTTCCTGGCAAACTTGGAACAAATGCACCTCAAAATAAGGCTTAAATAGTACTTTAAAGCTGTGATT